AGTATTACTCTGCTTTGTTTAAAGTATAAAGAAATCTACACATGGTTTTCTCATAATAATACTTGCAGTACTACGGTACATACAAAGACACAAACACAAAATGTGGCAAATAGAACAAATGCTTCTCATTCAACTTCCACTTCTCTTGCATTCAGGAAGGTTACCTTATAATCTGTGACGGTGTCTTGCTAAGGTTTTTGTGCTCACTAGAAGATTTCTGAGACTGTGATCCAGAAGCATGACTAGAGAATGCATGCTGTCTTACTCCTGAAGGATTCTGCAGTCGAGGAGGTAGTGCTGATGGAGCTTTGATTGGCTTGCTTGGATTCTTTGGCCCTCTGTATTCCAGGTCTGTAACAAGAACCCAAAAATACCTTATAAAATGCCTATTATAAACAATACCAAGTACCATCACATGCTTATCCCAAGCAAATGATAACTTGATGTGCTCCTACCAGAATGAAAATTCTGTCCAGAACCAGAAGTTTTTTTCATCTTCTTCCCTGATACTGTGTTCCAGCTTTCTGGTGGAGGTGGTTTGAGGTTCTTCGGTGTGTGTCTTTAAAAGGAAGAAAGACTTGTAATAACTTGAAAGGGGCAGGCAGGTGGCGTGGTGGCTAACGGCGCTAGACTCCCACATGACCAACCAAGTTACAAGTCCTACACCTGGCAGTTGGCTTTCTCACTTTCCCTCCCTCTCACTTTGTCTCTCTCTGGTCAAACTAAAATAAAAATAAAGTTCCAATAATTCTTAAAAATAAATAAATAGCTTAAAACACTCTTAGGAAGAATAAATAAATACTCTGCACAAATATTTTAAAGTTATCCAAAATAAGAATTTTCAATTTTGTTCTTATATTGAAGTACTAGAATATAAGTAGAAAGAGCATTTAAATACAAACAGACAGAATTCTAATGGAATAAAATGACAAATCAAGGGGCTGGCAGGTAGCATGGGGGTTAAGGGCACTGGACTCCCACATGGTCGACCACTTTTCAAATCTCAGACCTGGCGGCTTGCTTTCTCACTTCCTCTCTCTCTGTCCCTCTCTGGTCAAATTAGAATAAATACATACATATATACACACATACTGTTAAATAAAATAACTTTAAAAAAAATTTTTTGAAATAGCAAGTCAAATGTGTATTTTCCAACTTAAAAAAAAAAAAGACTAAAAGGTCTTAATCATGATCAAAGCCAGGAAGACTAAATAAGTAATAACTATTATTCTGCTAGATGTGATAACAGTACTGTAGGGAAGGAGTTACTTATTTTGTTAAAGACATATAAACATCTAACAGAGAAACAGTATAGTGTCCAGATTCCCTTTAAAACATTCCAATTTCAGGACCAGCAGTTAGCGTAATGGCTATGTGGCTGGACTCCCACGTAGTCGACGCGGTTCGCGTCCCGGACCTGGGGGATTAAACTCATGCCAGGCTCGTGTGCGTGCGTGCGTGCGTGCGTGCCCAAGATCTCAAGAGGAGAATGGAGGAGAAGGGATCGCGGCGTGGCCATCCCCCTGGGGGGTGATTTCTCGCTTTCTATCTCTGCCCTCTTCTTGAAAAGCGCAACCCCCCCATAAAAAAAAAAAAAAAAAAAAAAAAAAAAAAACCCTCTCAAAAAAATAAATAAAAATAAAACATTCCAATTTCATTCCCATTAAGAAAAAAAAATTACTAAAGCGAACAGATTAGAAAAGACTGCCAAACGCTGCTGGCTCCTAAAACTAGATGTAGGTTATATGTACTATACTGTACTATCCTCAAGTGTAAGGTGTAATTTACTACCTTTCTCTCTAGTGAAAGCAACAAAAACAAAATATGATCTAAAATAACACTGTAAGGATCAGCAGTTGGTGTAATGGCTATGTCACTGGACTCCCACGTAGTCAACCTCGGTCCAGTCCTGGACCAAGTTGTTTAAACTCATGCTAGGCACATGTGCATGCGTGCCCAGGATCCCAAGAAGAGAATGGAAAAGAGGGGATTGTGGTGTGGCCATCCCTCCTAGGGGATGATTTCTCACTTTCTGTCTCTCTGTCTCTGTCTCTCTTTTTGGTGAGCACACATGCCCTATAGCAAAAACCTCTCCAAAAAATAATGAAAAATAAAAATAAATAAAACGGCACTGTATAATAGTAAGTCAATAATGTTTTATTACGGGACCAACAGATGGCATAATGGTTATGTCACTGGACTCCTACGTAATCAACCACGATTCAAGTCCTGGGCCCAATGGCTTAAAACTCACACTGGCGGGAACCAGCAGTTAGCGTAATGTTTATGTTGCTGGACTCCCACGTAGTCGACCACGGTTCGCGTCCCGGACCCGGTGGCTTAAAACTCACTCCAGGCATGTGTGCATGTGTGCCCCAAGATCCCGAGAGGAGAATGGAGGAGAAGGGATTGTGGCGTGACCATCCCCCCTGGGGGGGTGTCTCTATGTCTCTCTCTGTCTGCCTGGAGAGCACACGCGCCCTATAGCAAAAAAAACCTCTCCAAAAAAAATAATAAAACCTCACACTGGCCACGTGTGCATGCCCAAAATCCCAAGAGAACAGAAGAGAAGGGAAGGAGGCATGGCCATGCTCCCGGCCAATGACTTCTCACTCTCTCTGTCTGTCTCTTCAGTGAGCACAAGCACCCTATAGCAAAAACCTCTCTTAAAAAAAAAAAAAAATAGGCTTTATCACTCCAACTGACAGATATTAATGGAATACTTTCTACATGCAATGAGGCACTGATGAAATTAGAAATTAATATAGTCCCTGTTCTCTAAAGTTCCCACTTTACAATTTAGCCAAAATTCCAAAAATGCTTTTGTAAAAAATAGCAAAAACAAGTATTTTAAATTTACCAGAATGCAAAATACTAAATGTGAACTCAAAACATTTTTCTAAAGATCTAACAAACACCCTTCATATTCCACTGAATTTGCAAATAGTCACTTAGGAATGCTAATGAGTAGATTAGGATAAACAGAAGAGATCTTTATCGCCTTAGGTGAAGAGTAGTACATACTTTTTTCCTAGCTCTTCAACCACAACAGGTCCATTCTCAGAGTGAATCCCTTGAATGTCAGCATTAGAAAATTTTCCATTGTGATCCAACCTAACCTGTTGAAAATTCCAAAAATAAAAATTAGTCACCTGCTTCCTTTGCATTAATTGTTTTAAAATGTTTATTTTGTCTTCAATTAGAGAAAACACGAATGTTTATCAAATTAAAAAAATGAAGTTAAGTTCAAAAGTAAATACAATAAAATCCATCTCCCTAATCTCACAAAACACACCAAACCTCCTAAATAGCTGAAGGAGAAGCAGGAGCCAAGTCCTGGTTCCAAATGCAGGGCAGGGGCACACACATCCCAAAATCCCAAGCCAGCTTTCCCATTACCAGCAGCTTGACCTTGGGCAAGTTACTTATCTCTTGCTTCTCATAGTTTCCTCCTATGCAAAATGGAACTAATAATAGCACCTACATCACAGAACTCATGGAGACAGAATGAGGGTGCATATGACACACATAAAGGACACCAACTTACAAACAAAAATCACTTAAATTAAATTAAATCTATTAGTATAATTACTATTATTTTCCCATTTTTACAGCATTAAAAATGTGTAACTGTGACCTTTTTTCCTCAATAAAAATAGATCCATCAACTGTTCTCCAACGTACAATTGGAACTACCGAACTATAAATCAAGACAAAAGATTAATAAACCTTAAGGCGTCTTCTATAGTCAAAACTGAGCACATCACAATATACACCTGCCAGTCACTGCAAAAGCAAATGTTCACAGAACTGCTTTAAGCAACCTCCTACTTTTATAGCAGATCCAAGTTCTCAAGCTGACATTTCATTTCTCATCAATTATGATAGGACACTCTGCCCTCTTCTCTTCAAGAATTCCAGAATAAAAAAGATGTTTCTGAAGTTCATTTTTATCAGAAGTTTAAACCTTATCTTACACACTTGAGTAAACAAAAGCTATATTTGAGTTATCTCAGTTTCTAAGATTTCAGTTAAATTTTCTCTAAGTGTTCATAGCATAAATAAAAACAAAACAAAAAAACCTCTGAAAATGAAAAAAACTAAAATTTACAAGTACAGGTTGAGGGCCAGCCAATGGTGTAGCAGTTAAGGTGCCTAGATCCCACATGGCCAACTATGGGATTGAGTCCCAAACCTGGCACTTTGAAAGACACGCTGGGCGTGTGTGTGTGTGTGTGTGTGTGTGTGTGTGTGTATGGGTATCCAAAATTCTGAGAGATAGGGGGTGCTTTCTCACTTTCCCTTTTTCTGTTCTATCTCTTTCCAGTGAGCACACATGCCCTATAACAAACAAAAAGGGGAAAAAAAAGAAAAAAGTATATAGGTTGAGCATTCCTAAATCAAAAATCCATAATGGTCTAAAATACGAAACCTTTTGAGAGATCACATAATGTTGTAAGTGGAAAATTCCACACCTGACCTCAATGTACACAGGTGTTGTTTCATGCAAAAATTATTTTTAAAACTGTGTAATATTTTCTTTAGGCTATGTGTATAAAGCTTCTATGAAATATAAATGAACTTTGTGTTTAGATTTGGGTCCCTTCCCCAAGATATCTCATCATGCACATGCAAATATACATCCAAAAAATTTCAAAATGTGAAACATTTCTGGTCTCAAGCATTTTGGTTAAGGAACATTCAACCAGTATATGTGCTACCATCTACTTTACCAAAAGCAGTTTCTTTTCTTTTTTTTTTCTCTAAAACTGCCTTAAGGCACATCTGTTCACCAGAGGTGGGGCCAGGAAGAAGGTGTGCAGCCTCACCAAAATCACTTCTCTTCTATTCTCCTATCAGAATTTTGGACCTACACGCACACATACATGTTTCTCAAGCAGCTATGTGTGGAAGTCAACCACATGGTTAGCTGGTTAGCCATGTGGGTCACAGCTGCCTTCACTACCATACTATCAGCTAACCACTAAAAGCAATTTCAACCTCAAAGGCAAAGTGCTTGATTTAATCTAATGTAATTTTAATGATACCATGTAACACAGTCTTCCCTGTTAAGTGGAATGGCGAGGGAGGCTTCTAATACCCGGACTTATTCCTTTCTTTTTAGGTTTTCAAAAGCTTCTACAGTGTATTTCTAACAAACCCGTAAGAAAACATTTAAATGAATCAATCTTCTTCCTCACCTTTTAAATACCCCAGAATCAAAATAATATAAAAGTTCTTAAGAGACAGCCCTGAACATGGGTGCTCTACGTGGGGAGCAGAGTCCCACATGACCAATCATGGTTTGAGTCCTGACCCTGTGGCTTGAAAAACAAACCAGGGACATGCACGTGCATGCCCCAAATTCTGAGGGGTGAGAAACAGAGGAAAAAGAACTATGGTGTAACAATAACCCTTTTGGGGTACTTCTCTCTCTCTCTCTCTCTCTCTCTCTCTCTCTCTCTGGCAAATGCACACACTCTTTGGCAATATTAAAAAAAAAAAATTAATTTCTTAAGGTAAAGTCCTCCACTGATGGGCCAGATACAATCCCAGTCTATCTAGGTGCTTCTCCTGTAAGCCAATTTATCATAAAGTAAAAGAGTACTACTTCCAAAAGTCAAGAAAAAAATGCTGCCAATGGCTATCTTAAGGTTGTTTTTGAAAAGAACACTTTTTGATGGCAACCATTCCTAATGAAAACTAACGTCTATGTAGTATGTGAATGTATTTAGGGGTTTTTGGTTTTAAAGTCTGGATTTTTCCAAATACTAAGAACAGAAAAGGGACCTTATAAATTACTTAACCAGGGCTTTTCCAGCATTAGCATTACTAACACTTTGGAGTAGATCATTCTTTTGGGCACGCACGGGTCGGGGGGAAGGCTGCTGACAAGATGCTGTCCTGTGCACTGTTTTGCCACATCTTCAGCAACTGCCCACTAGATGTCAGTAGACCTTCCCAACTGTGACACTAAAAATGCCTCCAGACACATTATAAAATGTCCCGGGTATGTGGTGGTGGTGGGGGGGTATCATCCTGGATTGAGAAACACTGATCTAATGCAATTTTTCCCTTTAACAAGCACCTACTCAAGTCCAGAACAGTAGCTTATTCAAATTAAATGGCAAAACTCCTATACAGTTCACGCCCCTTCCTTAGTGCAACAGAAAAATACTATGCATGTATCAAAATCTTCCAGGATTAACTTTCATAAACAAAAAAAATTCATCTATAAAGTCATGTCTGAATTGATTTCAGTAAATTATCTGCCAATTTAAAAGATACCTAAACATATAAAAGATCTTCTGTTAGTTCCCAAAGCAAGTAATACCAAAGGCCAAATTGTTTTTTAAAGATCACGTGATGAGATGTCATAGTTTTAGATATTTTAGACATTTAAGTAATGTGTTCAAGTTAAGTCAAAAGCTAAATATTTGTAAACTAATAAAATGTATGCACCATTAAAAGGGGGGGAAGGACCAGCACTTGGCGTAACGACTATGTCGCTGGACTCCCATGTAGTCGACCACGGTTCGCGTCCCAGACCCCGTAGCTTAAACTCACGCCGAGCGCATGTGTGTGTGTGCCCAAGATCCTGAGAGGAGAATGGAGGAAAAGGGATTGCGGCGTGGCCATCCCCCCTGGGGGGTGATTTCTCGCTTTCTGTCTCTATGTCTCTCTCTGGCGAACGCACGCACCCTATAGCAAAAATCCTCTCCAAAAACAAAAACAAAAACAAAAACAAAAACAAAAAACAACTAACAATGGACATGTGTGCATGCGTGCCCAAGACCCCGAGAGGAGAATGGAGGAGGAGGGACTGCTATGTAGCCATCCGCCCTGGGGTGTGATTTCTCACTTTCTGTCTCTCTCTGTCTTTCTGACGAGTGCATGCACCCTATAGCAAAAAAACTCTCAAAAAACAAAACAAAACAAACAATCAGTTCACAGAAAAGTCATGATGTATTTTTCTGTGCAAAAATGTGTCATGACTTTTCCAAAGACCCAATATATTCTGAATCCCAAATTAATAACATATTCAAACCTCACTTTTCTTGGTTGCTATTAGAAAAAACAAGATTCCAAGTAAAATCTTTTCTTCCTTTTAAACTAATCACTTACCTGGCATTTATCTCCAACTTCATATTGTAAGCCAGCAGCAATGGAATAATCACGTTTTTGTTGAGCTGTTTTTAAAAAAATAATAATCAGTGTAACGTAAGTGCTACAAAGCAAATGTACGAAAAATGAACATTTTTTCATGAGCAGATGCTGTAATGGTTATATTGCTGGACTCCCACATAGCGAACTGCAGGTCAAGTCCCAGATCAGCCCACTTAAAACACCCTAGCGCACATGTATATGCATGCCCAAAATCCCAAGAAGAATGGAGAAGGGACTGCAGTGCGGCCATCACCCCTGGGGGAGTGACTTCTCTCTGTCTCCACTGTAAGCACATTAGCCCTATAGCAAAAATTTCTCAAAAAAAAAAAAAAAAAAGAAAGAAAAATGCACAATTTTTAACTCACCTTGTTTAGACTTCAGCCAAATTTCATATTCCACATTTCTATAGACTGCTGGATTGAGTGACTTAAGAACCTTTCTAGATAAAGGCAGGTTAGCTGCGTTTCCATTGTTTTTCAGGTACTAAACAAAGAAAAATCAGGAAGTCAATCACAGAAATGCTTCTGAAACATTTTGAGATACATATATGAGTAAACTCAAATAAAGAAAAAACTTCAAGGAAACTAGAAAGTTGCCAATAATTTCTTACTGATAGATAATCCTGACTCTACAAAAAAATTAACAGAAAATAACTTTGAATTATAAATTTGTATGCTTTCCTACACTAATTAGAATCATTAAAAAATACCTCATCGCCTGTCAAAGGTTTAAATCCATTCACATCGTTTGAAGTAGATTTACTCCTACAAAAGAGGAAATAAAGCCATTTACTTAGGAAGCAGAAAAAACATATGTGTGCCTGCAATTAACTTTTTTTTTTTTAGAGGTTTTTGCTGTAGGGCTCGTGCGCTCGCCAGACAGACAGAGACAGACAGAGAGATAGAAAGCGAGAAATCACCCCCCAGGGGGGATGGCCACCCCGCAATCCCTTCTCCTCCATTCTCCTCTCGGGATCTTGGGCAGGCATGCACATGCACCCAGTGTGAGTTTAAGCCACCGGGTCCGGGACTTGAACTGCGGTCGACTACATGGGAGTCCAGTGACATAGCCATTATGCTAACTGCTGGTCCCACCTGCAATTAACTTTTAATCTTATTTTAAAAAATCTCTGTCAGAGACTCCTATCATCAGAACTATATTCCATATAAATGCATGTAAGTCTTTTGGTTTTTTGTTTGGTTGGCTAGTAGGTTGTTTATTTTAGGTTTTTGCCATATGGTATGTGCACTTACCAAAGAGAGACACAGAGAGGGAAAGTAAGAAAACAACCCCCAAGGGGGATGGCCACAATGTAATCCCTTCTTCTCCATTCTCTCCTTTGGGGTATGTACACATATATGCCCGGCATGATTTTCAAGCTGCCGGGTTCAGGGCTTGAATCGCAGTCAGTTATGTGAAAGTTCACTGCCTTAACCAACATGCCAGCATGTTAAGTTTTAATAGACATGTACATATATTTTAAATTGCATGTGTGTATATAAAATAGAGGTCAAAGACTTACTGTCAATAATCCTTACTGGATCATGTAACAAACAAAAGAACAAAAACTAATACACTCATAAGTCTGGCATAGGTGGCACCATAACTTGGGAATCTGAAGGCACCTGGGAAGCCTGGCTTGAATTCTTGGGCCAACTCGAAAGCTCTGGTGTTATACATGTCTGTTATCCTAGATAACTGGGAGGTTAGGGCAAGAAGAGCTCTACACAGTGGGTCTCTGTCAAAAATACCTCTCTGTCTCTCTTCCTTTTCTTCCCTCTCTCATAAATGGGGGGAAAATTCCTTTCAATATTCAAGTGAGACCTCATTAAAAAAAAAATGTCATTGCAATAAAGTATCTATAGGAGGATTCAGCAATCAACTCTTACATTAAAACTCTCTACATCAAATAATCTTCAACATAACCAAAGAACAGTCATCAGTTCTTTGCACTCAGTGCATCAATTCTTTGCACTCAGTACAGCATGTGTATCTACACCTTTAACATTCTACACCTTTTACATTTGTTCACAAAAAACATATGCATGCCTACTCTGTGCCAAGCATTATATTATATACTATGTGGTGCTCTGGTGCTAGCCATGAACAGATAATGCCTAATCTAATGAGAAGAGATACAAGTTACATTAAGTAATTCGGATGTTAAATGCTGGTTAACTATTATGGGTGGAGAAAGGTAAAAGTGATAGTGCTAAGATGCAGGCTCAAATAATAAAAAGTAGCATAAGGAAAGGCCTTGCTAAGAATTTTCTGAATAAAGAAAAGTGAGACAGCAAACCATACAGCTTCTTAACATTCCAGGCAGAGGGAACAGCACATGCAAAGACCCTGAAGTGGCCAAAGGGGCTAGTGAGGTAGGAACAGGAATGACAGTTCAACTGGGGGATGAGGTGAGACTATGATATGTATTCTTTGTCCTATAATTTCTCCTTAATAGAGAAATCTCTAGTTTTCAGGACAACTCCAAGTCTATACTCTTAAATGCAGGAATATTTAAGAAAACTAAAGTGCCTAGACGGTAGGCTAGAAAAAATTTACAATACTTCAGGACCAATCAAAAAGGAGAGAACAATCTAGGCACACGAGTGTAATACATCCTTGCTCTGCCCTCCTTATTAGCATACTATGCCTATCTATCTTGCCATGGTTATATAGCATTCTTCTTCCCTAACTGAAGCCGTTTTCCCTAAGGCAGACACGACACAAGTTATTTTTCAATAACTGGATATGTAATCGATCATGAGGTTAACTTTAAAATGTTGTAACACATATCTACAGAGGTGGGATCAAATCTGTTCTACATATAACGCATCAAGATTATATGGATGAAGATTCTCATCTATCGAAAATATCAACCTTTCAGAGACCAGCAGTTAGTGTAATGGCTATGTCACTAGACTCCCATGTAGTCGATCGCGGTTCATATCCCGGACCTGGTGGCTTAAAAACTCACGCCGGGCGCGTGTGCATGCATGCCCAAGATCCCGAAAGGAGAATGGAGAAGGGATTGCGGCGTGGCCATCCCCCCGGGGGGTGATTTCTCGCTTTCTGTCTCTCTGTCTCTGTCTGTCTGGCGAGCATACACGTCCTATAGCAAAAACCTCTAAAAAAAAAAAAAATCAACCTTTCAAAGAAAAGAAGCTTTCATAACAGAAATTTAGCAGGAGGAATAAAGAAAGTTGTATTGCAAATTGCTATATTTTATGAATACCTAAATACCTCAATATATGAAACAACATGCAGAAACACTGACTGAAATATTTCTTTGTAAAGCAATAGAAAGATTGTTAGCATTTAAATTCCTTCTTACTTGCAACTGTCATCTTCTGAATCTGATATTTCACTGCTGTTTTCATCAGCTACTTCAGAGGTGCCTAGTTCCATCACAATTTTACTAACGTCAGTTTTAAATACCTTCTCATATAACAATTCATAAAGAAGAGCTGCAATCAATGAGAGATACAGAGATTTCATGCAACATTAACCACAGGACCAAAGCATAAAAATGTGACTACTGTTTAAGCTTCTAAAATCCTACTGGACATCTTATGGTTAATGACATAATAAGAAAGTAACCTAAAGAGCAATTAAAATTTCTCTGTAAGTTTAGTTTGAAATCATTGTACATGATACTACCATTTAAAAAAAAAAACAACATAGAAAAGTATCACAATTGTGAAACAAGTATCACAGGAAAAATTACATGCACACTGAGCAATTACTAAGTTTCGTATGCCGTTGTAAGCCCTTATATCCTGTTTACGGCTGCTCCCCATCGCTCTCATCACAACACGAGCTCCACCTCCTTTCAGATCAATGGCACCATTAGATTCTCATAGGTATGTGAATACTAGTGTGAACTGTGTGTGCAAGGGATCTAGTGTGCACTGCTCAGGAGAATCCAAAGTCTAATGATCTGATCTGAAGTGGAGATAAAGTGGTGATGCTAGTACTGGGGAGCAGCTGCAAATAATACTGCATTACAGCATATTTGCTGTATATTACAATGCAACAATAGAAATAAAGTACACATAAAGTATAATGCCTCCAATCACCCCTATACCACCATTCCCCTTTCGTTTGTGGAAAAAATGTCTTCCATGAAACCAGTCCCTGGTGCCAAAAGGTTGTAGAGTGTGCTAGCTGACAAGTCAGAAGACAGAGACACTAATCTTTGCTTTCCCACTAATATAAAGTTAAACAAAGAATTTCTCTAGTTTCTACAAAACAAAAGGATATTTGGCTACATAATGTCTACAGATCTGAACTTGACAGACAGAACTAAGAAGTGGCTACTATAAAATATATTCTAAGCAGTCACTGAAGAGGAGTACATTTAGAAAACTGCTGATTTTTCTTTTTTCTAAAGAAACCAACCTTCTATCCTGAAAACAACACAACTAATCAAATATTCAAAAACACATAGATTTTAAGACTCTCATTTGGCTTTATTAACTACAGTTAGCTTAATGAAAACAAGTGCAGTAGAGGTTCATCCACAATGAACCTCTAAATGGGCCCCCTAGGTGATCTCCTTTCTCACAGATCATCTTTCTTTCAAATTACAGTAACAGGAAACACACCCTTGATAATCCCCAAAGCACAAGCACTCAGAAGTATAGGAAAGGCAGGCTCAGAGAGTCATGCTTCCAAAGACTACATTGTCCAAATTCTTACTAGCTGGGAGAGGGAAAAGACACAGCCCAGGATACAGAGAGGCAGACCTTCATATGTACAATGGATCACTTACTTTCTTAAAAAATTGCACTGTGTATGTCTTTACTGTGACCATTAAGAAAGAACAGAGGAAAAGGCCGTTACATGCCTCGTACCACTGTTTCACATGAGTGATTTGTGCTTTGTCAGAACAAGTAAAGGTAACAGTAGAAGGGCCATTACTCTTCTCTTAGAGCAATAGCTCTCAAACACAGAAAGAGAAAGGAGTGGAGCATTCATCACCCTGGGAAATGTTTGGCATAATCTTTTTTTTGGGGGGGGAGGGGGGGGCGGAGATTTTTGCTATAGGGCTCGTGCGCTCACCAGAGAAAGAGACAGAGAGAAATCACCCCCCAAGGTAGATGGCCATGATTTTCAGTCCCTTCTTCTCCATTCTCTTCCTGGGATCTTGGGCACACAAGCACATGCACGCAACATGAGTTTTATTTTTTTTTTTCAAGCTTTGATTAACTTTATTTTCATTGCATAAAAACCCTATGTTGTGGCCACAGCTGGAGCCTGGGTTCTCTGCACAGAGACTCTGGTGTGGGTCTTGACGAGATGGTCAGTGAATTCCTGATAGGGAGACTTGGTGGACATAGTCTCTTTCCAGAGGTCAGGATCTGATAGCTGCAGGTTTTGGAGATGGCATCAAGGGTGGCTTTGGTGAAGTTGCCCAGGGTGGCAATACAGCCCTAGGCTGAGGTGTAGCAGTCATCAATGCCAGCCATCAGCAGCAGCTTCTTGGGCACAGGGGCTGAGACAATGCCAGTGCCTCTGGGGACAGGAAGGAGATGCACCAGTACAAAGCCACAGCAGCCGGTCACCTTGGAAGGGACAGTGTGCAGGTTGCCGATCTTACTCCCCCAGTAGCCTCTCCACACAGGGACAATGGAGAGTTTGGTCAGGATGATGGCCCCTTGGATGGCAGTGGCCACCTCCTTGGAGCACTTCATGCCCAAACCAACATGGCCATTGTATTCTCCAATAATGACAAATGCCTTGAACCGGGTCTGCTGGCCAGCATGAGTCTGCTTCTGCACAGGCATGATCTTCAGAAGCTCAACTTTGAGAGAGGCTCCCAGGAAAAAGTAGATAATCTCAGGCTCTTTGAATGGGCAGGGAGAAGAGAGAGATCTCTAGGGATCTGATCTTCATGTCTTTGACCAGGCAGCCCAGCTTGGTGACCAGGATCCACTCCTTGTCCTTGGTCTTGCCCCTGTGAGCTCCGCAGCTGTGGAGGCCCCAGCGCCAACCATAGCCCGGGGGGTTCCAACCACAGACCCAGCCCCAACTACAGGGGCTGCTGCCAAAAACTCCACAGAAGCCTCCGCGACCAATCTCAGTGCCACCGGGGCCTTCGGGCCCTGCCCCTGCACCTGCACCTGCACCTGAGGCATCCGCCATTTGGTGTCTTCTCGGAGAGTAACGCCCCAGAATGAGGTGGGTTTTTTTTTTTTTCTTTTTTTGGAAGAGGTTTTTTCTGCTATAGAGCGCCTAGGCTCGCCAGAAAGACAGAGAGACTGAAAGTGAGAAATTACCCCCCAGGGGAGATGGCTACACCACAATCCTTTCTCCTCCATTCTCCTCTTGGGATCTTGGGCATGCACACACACGTGCCCAACATGAGTTTAAGCCACTGGGTCTAGGATTCAAACCACGGTCATCCATGAGAGTCCAGCAACATAGCCATTATGCCAACTGCCCAGCATGAGTTTTAAGCCACCAGATCCAGGACTTCTACCTCGTGAGCTGTGTGAGAGTCCAGCAACATAACTGCTACACCATCTGGTGGTCCCCATTTGGAAAAATCTTACAGGAATTTTAGTTGCTACAAGAAGACAGTGTTGCTACCATCTATCAGGTAGAGGGAAGGGATGTTACTAAACCTCCTACAGTATACAGGAGAGACCCAGCAACAGAATTATCTAGTCTAAAAGTCAACAGTGCCAATGTTAAAAACCCTGCCCTAGAGCCAAATACAATCAAATGTTTGATGTGTCCTGTCATTTGGATTTTCAAGCTATACATTAACAGCTTTAAAACTGAATGTGAGGGACCAGCAGTTAGCGTAATGGCTATGTCGCTGGATTCCCACATAGTCGAACGTGGTTCAAGTCCTGGACCTGGTGGCTTAAAATCACGCTGGGCGCGTGTGCGTGCCTGCCCAAGATCCCAAGAGGAGAATGGAAAAGAAGGGATTGTGGCGTGGTCATCCCCTCTGGGGGGTGATTTCTCGCTTTCTATCTCTCTGTCTGTCTCTGTCTGTCTAGCGAGCGCACGTGCCCTATAGCAAAAACCTCTCCAAAAAAGAAAGTGAATGTGAGACCTGACCCTAGAGGTGTTACAGGTGTGGCTACTGTCACAGCTGGGTCAGGAATGGACAGAGAGCAGAGAGGCTGTGTCTACACTCATTCTTCTGACTCACTCACACTGAATGGTTAGTAGCCTAAGAAAGAAAAAGTAACCGATCGGGATCTTTTGTCTTTTGATTGTCCTTGAGATATTAATACAGAGCCTTCTTTCTGTTTCAAGTAAGTTACTCAATACATGAGATACATTTTTGTTAGTTTTTACAGCACCCTTTTAAAGAAAGGAAGCATGAGGTAGTTATTTTTGTAACGTACAAACATAACCCAATATTATTTAAGGTTTTACAAATAAAGAGTAATAGGAGTAACTTCAGTAAAGCTTAAAAAAATTAAATGACTATAAGTCTGTATTACTACTAAAAAACAAAAAAGCTGTTTACAAGTAAAATCTAACCACTGGCCACTAGGCTTCTTTTCCTATTAAAACGTTTTCATTATTAATAGTCTTGGTAGTCAAAGGTTCCTATATTAAATAGAACATAATATTTGCCCTGATGGTATGACAATACAGCTTAGAAATATAATTTCCTATATAATGCAAAGTGATACTTACACTGACACATAGCAGAGCTCTCTTTATACTTTATGGGATAGACTATATCATAATGATTTCCATTTGAAAAACACAGTAATACCTGAAAGGGAAAAAAAAAGACAAATTTCAGCACCTAATGTACATGACATCTGCAAAGCAACTGAAGTCACGAATGCCTCTGAATTACTAAATCATTTCCAAATACAAAGTGGTATTTTAGAAGAAACTTAAAGCTCCAGTGTTGTCAAAATAATACATTGAAATGCTATGTAGCCATTAAATCAAAAAGTTCTTAATAATTTGGGAAAATGTTTATAGGACCACAAAAACAGACACAATATAAAACATGATTTTAATTGTTTAAACAAGAAAAGACCATTAAGAAAATATTATGAAAACTTATCAACACTAATCTCTAACAGAGCGAATCAAAGGTAATTGTTTTCTGCCTCTTTATAGTTGTGTGCACTTTATAGTCAATTACTTATGCAAAGAGAAGTAAACGCACAATAATACTGTTTAGAATCTAACATATTCCAAACATCCTACTGGATCCAGAAATATCCTGTGGAAATCTCCAAGACCTTCACGCAATCTCACCTATTGCCATTAGCATTGCAGTTAACAAAGCTACATTAACTTGGCCTTCATGATTCCAAAATGGTTAATAAGGACAAAAATCTCTTACAATGTATTAGTTAAATTATTTTTCTTTCTAGGCTTCATAAAATATTTTAATTATTTCTACCTTATTACCAGATAATGCATAGCACCCTTGTCAACAAAATTATCTCTAAAATAAGAAATAACACGATTACCAAAGTATTTCTGGATGCAATGTTGAAACCTATTTTTACAAGTTACATTACTACATAATATTCATATTTACACATAATGGTAATAGTCTAATTCATCACTAAGGGTCTCATCTTAGCTTTCTTGTGCCTACTAAAGTGTTATAAAAGGGTTTTAACACAAGTGATTTGTAGGGGAAAAATACAAAATAATATGACTCAACAATGATTAACAGGAATTTTAAAACCTTCAGAATACCAAAACCTTCTTATAGACATATTTAAAATTACAGCTTAGGAAGAAAAAGTAGCACATGTGTAGTTCTTTTACTGAAATTCTGTACAAACACTTTGAAAATGTCTTACCTTTTCAGGAAAATTATTTTCAGTTACTTGTGAGGGAGAAACATTTGGTTCCCGATAAATTACAAAATCTTTCCTGAAAATAACATTGAGAAATTACTTCTAATGGAATACACTTTATAAATTTAAATTAAGTCCTTCCATCATTTATCAAACGACTAATATGTGCCAGGAAATGTATTTCACTGACCGCAGTGAAATAACTAAGTTGCAACATACCTATATAAGTTATCCTTTAGCTCCTCTACAGGCTAAAAGCAGTAAAATTGAATATGGTTTTAGTTCTGTTCTAGTAGCCTGAATAAGTAGGGAATCCTTTTTCCCTAAGGTTAAAATTTCTCTTTCCCAAAAGTATTCTGAGAATTAAAATTTCTGAACAATGGAGGGAGACTGACAACACACGGGACAGTCCCAAATTCATGTCTGAAAATTCCCTGAGTACACTAGACACACGGGTGCCCATAATCTCGGGTATGCTGAAGCTGAGGATGGGTCACAGCATCGAGACCCTGTTGGGGGTACTGCCTATCTCTTTAACTCATGAAAAAAATTAACTTTTAAAAATCTTGAAACATTGTATGTAAATGTCAAAATCTGATATTAAAAAAAAATCAGGAAAGAGGCTTCACAAGATATAAAATAACTCTGCTATTTTAACATTTTCAGTATAATCAAATACACTAATTTCCCACAAATTTTATTTTTGTTTAATTATGTTATTAGTGTTTACCTGTACATAAGCGAAAGGGCACTTATTTCCACTTGTCCTACCCATTCCTATATTGAAGGAAAAAAAGTGGCACATAAGTGTCTCGCACTTTTTATAACATACTTTATACAATACCTCTATACATCAATTTACACAACATATCTAACAAGTTTTAAAGCTTGTCAATATTATGAATAACAACATTTACATAAGATGGTCCATAATATATATGTACTAAAAAACAAGTCTCTATTGCAAAAATCCTTCGTAATAGGACATACTGACAGTTCTTAGTGGTGTGAAAATAAGTTAAGAACTTGTTGATAACGCACTATCCTTGAACCTAGCGACCAAGAGAACATTATACAAAGCATAAGCTAAGAAAAGGAAGTGCTGACCAGAAGAAAATTGGAAAACAAAAAAAAGCTCATCTTCAGGGTGGATGAAGATACAAACAGAGCACTGTCTCAGTAATCATTTTTTTAAAAGAATCATTTTACTTAACTTTGTTGTTTTTTGTTTGTTTTAATTTTTATTTCATCAAAGAGGGACAGAGAGAAAGTAGGCTGCCAGGTCCAGGACTTAACCTCAGTCAGCCACGTGAGAGTCCAACGCCCTTAATCACCACACCACCTGCCAGCCCCACAGCAATCATTCTGAAATAAGGAGAATTCTACATAGCCTTTCTGGAAGGCACATGGCCAGTATATATCAAAATGTAAAATGTCCCTCTACCCATATAATGGATCCAGCAATTAATTTCTATAAATTTGTCCTAAAGAAATATTTCATATGGGTCCAGCAGGTGGCATGGTAGTTAAGGGGTTAGACTCTCACATAGTCAACTGGTTCAAAGTCACAAGAGAATAGAGAAGGGATTGTGACATGGCCTTCCTCCCAAGAGGTGATTTCTCACTTTCCCTATCTCTATCTCCTGCCAATGCACACACCCTATGGCAAAAATCCAAAAATAAGGAAAAAAATTATTTCATATATCCACAAAAGTATATATAAAAAAGGATTTCACCATAAGCTATTTGTAATAGTAAGGAAGGAAGAGAAAGAGAAAGGGGAGAAGCGAGAGAAAGAGGTCTAGCTGTCATGGCATAAAGGAGATGCCACTCAACAGAGGCCTGAGAAGCCCTGGTCCAGTTCCCAGCCCAATCTGGACAGGCATGGTAGCATGCATAGAGAGAAGGAAAAGAAGTGAGAAAAAAAAGAAAAAAGGAAACAAAAGAAATGGAAAGAGAGAACAGAAATCAGAAGGGAGTGGGGGAGGGAAGGAAGCCCTAAGACTCTTAAAGAATATTAAATGAGTTATGGTTCATCCACAGTATAGACTATAACATTCATTTTAAAAAACAGATATACCCCAAATGAAATATTTTAGAATGATCACTCGAGACTGTTAAATGAAGAAAAAACAAATCATGGTTTATATAAAACAAACAAAGCATATTTATTTGTACATGTGTGCGCACATGCACAGAAAAGGGACCACAATAATACACCCTAAATTGACAGTTAAGACAAGGACTTCAAGATGAGGAAAACTAAGATTTTCACTCTTCCTTCTGTATACATCTATATTTTTAAATCTTCTAATATAAAAACATACTCCTATACTACTCGCAAAAATAGTAATTAGAAATTAAACTTACTATCAAGAATTACTAAAACGAGCTATGATAAATGAATGTTGTTATTTCTACCTTTAAAGGAAAAAAATAAGATAAAGAAAAAGATTTTAAACAATGTTTTGATCTCATACAAGGACAATTTTTGTTCCAGAGACTTTTCATTTTAATAGTTCTTAAAAGTTGGCTCTGATTTTCAAAATGAAATAGGTGCCATATATTAAAATAGACTTCTTAAAATAGGGCTTGGTCTAACAATCATGGCTTCTCACAAACTGTTACAAGTGACACCCTCTGTTATAGAGGAAATCCTTCACTGAATCTTTTTGAATCACAAATACAAGCTCATTTCTAATGTATGCAAAAAATGTTACACCACTTCATAAAACTCCATCAATGACAACAAAGGCTACTTCTCACAAGAACAATGTACTTTCCCATAAGTAATCTCCAGAATAAATTCTACTGTAGTGTAGTTAAGTATAAAATGGCTATTATAACCTCTTCCCCAACCAGAGTTAGTTCTAAATTATTTTAAAAACAAAACAAGAAACTCACACTGTTCTTTTTTCTTTTTTTGGGGGGGGAGGGGTTGCTATATGGTACATGTGCTAGCCAGAAAGAGACAGACAGAGACAGAAAAGAAAGTAAGAAATTACACCCCCAGGGGGGTGGCCACACTACAATCCCTTCTCCTCCATTCTCCCTTTGGGATCTTGGGCACGCGCACATACACTCAGCATGAGTTTAAGCCACAGGGTCCAGGAATCAAACTGCAGTCAACTACATGGAAGTCCAGTGACATAGCCATTATGCTTTTTTTTTGGAGAGGTTTTTGCTTTAGGACACGTGCGCTCGCCAGACCGACAGAAAGAGACAGAGAGACAGAAAGTGAGAAATCACCCCCCAGGGGGGATGGCCATGCCACAATCCCTTCTCCTCCGTTCTCCTCTTGAGATCTTGGGCACGCACACATACGCGCCCGGCGTGAGTTTTAAGCCACTGGGTCCAGGACGCGAACCCCAGTCGACTACATGGCAGTCCAGCGACATAGCCATTACGCTAACTGCTGGTCCCAGAAACTCACACTGTTCTACAACCAGTTTTCTATCCTAAGGCTACAATTTTATTACACAGGACTTACAATGTTTTATATAGAACTACTGTGTGGGTGAGAGAAAACAGTTTCTGCAAAACCAGTTTCAACTAATTGAACTATTAACTTGGGGCTGAGTAGTGACACAGTGGTTAACACAACTGAACCCACATAGGAAAGGCTTGGGTTCATGTCCTAGAACCTCCCTGAGCATGCCATGCTGGACACCAGTGCATGTGCCCATGATCCAGGCCAGTTGAGAGCAGGGGAGGATCATGGTGTAAGGATTCTGTTGGGTGTGCTTATCTCTCTTTCTCCCTACCTTTCTCGCTGAATAAATAAATAACTTAAAAAAAACACACACACACAACTACACAACTTAAATGTTTTTAAATAGTCATCAAAAGTAAAGCTTTGTTTCTCAAAAAACAGTATTTAAAAAAATAACATTAGCCAGCCAGTGGCATAATGTTAAAGCAGCTGGACCCCACACGGCCAAAAATGTGGTTCAAGTCTAGATCTGGTGGCTTGAAAAACACGCTAGGAGCTTGTGCATGTGTGCCCAAAATCCCAACAGGAGAGAGAAATGAAGGAAAAGAGATTGCAGCACAACCATTCCCCATTGGAGGGTACTTTCTCACTCTCTCCACCAAGTGCGCAACTGCTCTGGCAAATTAAAAAAGAACATGAAAGGAAACAACATAAAAATGAAGTATCTACAAAACTTACATCTATTTAAAGGCAGAACTTATATCTAACAAAAGAACTCAGAATTCAGTAAGACTGAGAGCAATTTAAAACCTGCTATGAAGGGTCAGCAGGTGGTGCAATGGATAAGGTGGCAAATTCCCATACGGCCGACTACAGTTCGAGTCCTGGACCCTGTGGCTTGAAAATCATGCCAGGCATCCATGCATGCATGCTTAAAATCGCAGGAAGATAATGGTGGAGAAGGGACTGTGGCATGGCCATCCCTCCTGGGGGATGTTTTCTCACTTTCCCTCTTGCTATCTCTCTCTCCAGCAAGCATACATGGCTTATGGCAAAAATACTTAAAAAAAAAAAAAAAATTTCTACTAACAGACACTTTATCAACAAAGATATTATGGTTTGCAAATACATCATTAGAGATATGCAAATTAAAATGTTCATCCACAATAACTGTTGACAAAAATGTGGAGCAACTGGAATTCTCACATTATGCGAAGGAGAATGCAAAATGGTTTCATCCACTTTGGAAAAGTTTGGCAGTCTGTCATTAACATAAACATAGAACCTGGAAAATTTCACTCCGTCTCAATATAAGTTATAGAAAGAAAATTTAAGTCCACGCAAAGACTTATAAAGCAAATATTCACAGCAGCTTCAACTGTAACACCCCAATTCTAGAAAGAACCCAAATATCAATCCATTAGTGAATAAGTAAACAAATGGTGATACACCCATACAGTGGAATACTACTCTGCCATAAAAAATGTAGCATTCTGGAAATCAGGGCCAAGGTTATTTCAGGTCATATGACAAAGATCAGACAGACAACTCTGTCCTTACTAAAGCAACCTCTTTCTAGTAGACAGCTCCAACTGTCTTCCCAATTGTCTTTTAACTGCTTAAAATGTGTACTTAAGACATGTGTGGAAAACATTTATCAAGAAATAGAATGTACTGTCAACTTCTCTATAAATTCTAATATTTGTCTCCCATTTTAATGAATTTTGAATGTGTAATTTAGATTTATAAAAACAGAAATACGTTGCAAGGTTACTACATACCTGTGGATTTTCCAAGCGTTTTAAATACTCTTCAAATGATCCTTCTATAAACTGGAGGGGAAAAAAGTGTCTATTAGGAATTTCATTTAAGAAATGTGCCCAAAAGAGTTAATCACTTCACTGGGTAAATACTGTTTACTCTGAATTGCTAAATTCTTATACAAACCTAGGATATGTTGGTATTATTAAAATACATGTATGTATAATCCAGTTATGAAAATATACACATCATTAAATAAAGACCATAAACATACAAAATGATTTTTTTAAGAGAGATTTTTGCTATCGGACATGTGCACTCGCCAGAGAGACAGAAAGCAAGAAATCACCCCCTGGGGGGGGATGGCCACGCCGCAATCCCTTTTCCATTCTAATGTCAGGATTTTGGGCATGCACGCACACACGCACATGCCTGGCTTGAGTTTCAAGCTGCTGGATCCAGGACTTGAAACCATAGTCAACTATGTGGTAGCCCAGTAATGTAACCATTATTACATCATCTGCTGGTCCCACAGAATAATTTCAAGAAGGAAATATTGTCCAGAAGATTTCCTTAAAAAGGAGTAACTCAACACAAAGGCTGAGCAGAGCTGGATGGGCACAGGGTGTGGATACTGCAAAGAGAGGACAAATGTTTCATCAGAAGGAAGTAACATTGTGTTGGGAAGATAGAAGGTACCTGCCCAGTTGGAGCAGAGCAGGGGGTTGAGTAGCGGAGGTACCCTAATGGGGGCGGGCCTGTTTGTAGAGGGCCTTAAGCCCAGGCTAGACTGGGAAAGGAACTCAAGGTCATGGCAGGTGACCGTCTGAATAGAGCAATTATATGATAAAAGCTATGCTTTAAGATTAATTTGGTAGTGGCCAGTGTCTAGAAGAGAATAATACAAAGACATATATTTGCTAAAAAACAGTAGCTTAATAACATAAATATGAGTATTTACTGTCTTAAGTCAGTCATTCTGAAGTGAGGATACCTAGGTAACTTTAAAGATAGTTTGAAGCATCAACAGATTTTTCTAATATAGCTTCACTGTCACTTTAACATAAAAACAGAGTTTATTTAAACTGTATGTTAATCCAACCTTTTCCTTTTTCTCCTAACAATTACATTAACTTCAGAAAGCTTTAAAAGACATTATTCTAAACCACCAAATTATATTTTACTTTACTTAAATTGTAGTCTGAGGTAATTTAGCAAAGTGATATACTTAAAGACACTGGGAACACTGTCTAGTCTATAAAAATCTTTCAAGCATCATGGATTTTATTTTTAAGATTAAGATTCTCTTGCATGGGAACCAGCAGTTAGCGTAATGGCTATGCCGCTGGACTCCCACGAAGTCGACCGCAGTTCACGCCCCAGACCGGGTGGCTTAAAACTCACGCCGGGCGTGTGTGCGTGCGTGCCCAAGATCCCGAGAGGAAAATGGAGGAGGAGGGATTGTGGCGTGACCATCCCCCTGGGGGGCGATTTCTCGCTTTCTGTCTCTATGTCTCTCTCTGTCTGTCTGGCGAGTGCACGCGCCCTATAGCAAAAACCTCTCCAAAAGGGAAAAAAAAAAGGATTCTCTTACAGATTGTCAAGTTTCAACACTTATTTATAACAAAATACCTACATAGATTAAATATCACACTAATCAGAGGTTGTGATTTTATAATAATAATTGTAAACTTAAAAAAAAAAAAACCCACAGAACCATTAAAAGTTGGAAAAGACCTAAGCAGTATTCTGACACAAGCTTATACCCAACCTAAAAGTATCCTTTCTAAGAAAGCATCATCTAGGCCAAGGCTAAACACAGTAACAAAACATCCCTTCCCAACTCTGGCCAACATAAAGTACTAGAAGGTCATTATAAGAAAGAAAGTGAATTTTTCCTCTTTGGAACTCTTTTTTTTTTTTTTTTTTTTCATGAGATTTTTGTTTTAGGGCACCAGAGAGACAATGACAGAAAGCAAGAAATCACCTCTGGGGGGAATGACCACACAGCAATCCTTCCTCCTGCATTCTCTTTTCAGGATTTTGGGCACACACATACATGTGTCTGACACAAGGTTTTGTTTTTTGTTTTTTTTTAATTTATTAATAGAGGTTTATTGACTCACACAATTCTGGTGGGTAGAAAGTTAAAAGGCATCACAAAATGGCACAAGGCAAAATCTTGAACAGAGTTGAAGGGAGTCTACATCCACAGTCTTTGCCTACCTCATTTTCTTTATAAACCTACCAGCAATCAATCATGGACTGACCACTCAATCACCAACCTCTTGACGTAAGTTTTAAGCTATGGGGTCTGGGACTCGGGAGTCCCAGTGATGTAACCATTATGCCATCTACTGATCCCAGAACTTTTTTTTTTTTTTTTTTTTTTTGGGAGAGATTTTCACTGTAGGGCGCGTGCGCTCGCCAGACAGACAGAGAGAGACATAGAGACAGAAAGTGAGAAATCACCCCCCAGGGGGGATGGTCACGCCGCAATCCCTTCTCCTCCATTCTCCTCTCGGGATCTTGGGCACGCACGCACACGCGCCCGGCATGAGTTTTAAGCCACCGGGTCCAGGACACGAACCGCAGTCAACTACGTGGGAGTCCAGCGACATAGCCATTACGCTAGCTGCTGGTTCCCTGATCCCAGAACTTTTAACCTATGATCATATTTCCAAAGATTATGTGGACTAAATAAATATATCAAAGGAGTTAAAACAATGCCTGACACATAGTAAGTGCTCAACCAATGTTAATAATGTCCATTATTATCAACACAATTTTACCCAGTGCAGCTAGTAATGATTAATTCACTTGTAATTTCTCCAAATACTTAAAAACCACCCACTACCACCCCTCTTTTCCACTATATCATACTACTCTCTTTATCTGACCTCTATATTACCAGGTTTTTTATTAGGCAAAGTTTTAAACTTCCTGATGGAGCAAGTAATTCTCACTGGGATATATTCTGTACACCTAAATCATGGCACATAGAAAACTGTTACTAGGAATAATACTTTGAATACAGGAACTATCAACCTAAAAACACAAACTAAGACTTCTTTACCTGTTAAGTCCTTGAATTTGGTTATCTGCAAAGAGTCAATGGTCTTTACGAGTCAATGGGGGCAGGGAACACCACTGAAACTTGTCAGATTATATAATTCTAAGGTCATAAAACCAGTAACTAGTAAGTCCTATAAGGCTTTCGATGTAAAATGAAAATAGGTCAGTCACTGTGACATCTTATTTTACAGCCTACTATGCACTACTGGGAAAGTTATAATATGTTATTATACAATATTTTATTAACTATTAACCATCATTTACATAATTATAGTGTTCTGATATGTGATTTCACAACAAACCCTGAAAATTAAAAATCTATGAATGCTGTAACCAGCAGATGGCATAATGGTTATGTCACTGGACTCCTAAGTAGTTGACAACGGTTTGAGTCCCAGACCTGGTGGCTTAGAACTCACACCAGGTGTGTGTGCGTGCATGCTCAAAATCTGAGAGGAGAATAGAAGAGAAGGGACTGTAGCGTAGCCATCTCTCCTGGAGGGTATTTCTCACTTTCTATCTCTCCAGCGAACATACATGCCCTATAGCAAAGATCATCATCTTTTTTTTTTTTTTTAGAATTATCTTATTTAACTTATTTTAATTTGACCAAAGAAGGACAGAGCAAGAGCGAGAGAGAGAAAGTGAGAAAGCAAGCCACCAGGTCCAGGACTCAAACCATGGCCAGCCATGTGGGAGTCTGGCGCCCTTAACCACCATGACGCCACCTGCTGGCTCGCAAAAATCTCTCTTTAAAAAAAAAACCATGAATGACTCTATTAAAAATTTAGTATTATTTATGTTCAGTATATTTTATATTCCCTGCCTAAGGGAAAAAAAATTTTTTGAGAGAGAGATTTTTGCTACAAGGCATATGCGCTTGCCAGAGAGATAGAAAGTGATGGCCACACAGCAATCCCTTCTCCTCCATTCTCTTGCTGGGATTTTGGGCATGCATGCACATGTGCCCAGTGTGAGTTTTAAGCTGCTGGGTCTGGGCCTTGTACTGCGGCCGACTATATGGAAGTCCAGCGACATAACCATTTTCTGCTGGTCCCCAAGTCTAAAAAAAAAATTATTTTTCGCTATAGGGCACATGCGCTTGCCAGAGAGAGAAAGGGGACGGGAGGGAAAGTGAGAACTCACCCCCTGGAGGGATGGCTATACAGCAATCCCTTCTCCTCCAGTCTCCTTCTTAGGATTCTGGACTTGCACACTCACACACCTGGCATGATTTTCAAACCACCAGTCCAAGACTTGAACTGCACAGTCGGTCATGTGGGATCCAGCCCCTTAACCAAAAGCCTAGTTTGCCAAAGTTTACTCTTAGTATGCAAGAAATCTATCCAGGTCACCCTTCAATCCCCCCACAGCTCAGTGATTTATCTATCATAGAAGCTTTCTAAATGTCTGAATAAATGAGCAACACAAAACAGCATAGAAAATATCAAAACTAAATATAACTAGATTTAAATTCAATAAAGATCTTCTTTACAAGGACTTTTTCATAACATTAAGATTCAGCCTAGGGACCAGCAGTTAGCGTAATGGCTATGTCACTGGAGTCCCATGTAGTCAACCATGGTTCAAGTCCCGGACCTGTGGCTTAAACTCACGCTGGGCACGTGTGCATGCATGCCCAAGATCCTGAGAGGAGAAGGGATTGTGGCGTGGCCATCCCCCATGGGGGGTGATTTCTCGCTTTCTGTCTCTCTGTCTCTGTCTTTCTGGCGAGCGCACACACCCTATAGCAAAAACCTCTCCAAAAAAAAAAGGGGGGGGGGGAGATTCAGCCTATAAAATTTCCACTAGGTCACATCTAAAAGCCAAAAAGTAAATAAAAGTCAAGACACCATTACATATTTGAAATAACAAATTACCGCTTCGAATTTCTCTCTGTTCTCTCGAAGATAGTGAATACAGGCCATTCGAACTTCAACATGACGAGATTGAGAGTGCAATACCTAAAAAGAAAAAGCAATACACTAATAAGCATTTTGTTAAAAGTGAATTTAAGTTACAACCTTATGCTTTCTGCTACACCCCAGATTACCTGATAACCCATGAAAATCAGCCTCCCTCCATTTCCTTTCGTATAATTTTCAGATGTTTACTCGTTCCCACTTCTCTAAGCACAGTGATGATATATACAAACAGTAATACTTCTTAAGCCAGATATCAACGCATAAGGAATTTATTACCATTTCTCCTTCAGGTCACTATAGTCACTGCTTCAGGGACATCTTTGCAAACTTAAAACACTTTCCTCTTTTAGCCACTTCTCTGCAATAACTTTGCTTTCACAAACCAGAGCTAATAGAATCCCCAACTACACAGTGCTGAGCCTCATTTTATTTTGGAAAATACAACAAATAGGTGACTTTGGCAGTAATTCTCTATGAGGATTTAAGCCTTTAAGAGATTCCTTTTTTCAATAATTTTGAATGTACTTTGTGGCCTTACATAGAAATTTAAATATACCACTGTTTCAGAAAAATATAAGCACTCATCCTGAAGTCCTCATTTATCAAGCTTACACGATTCAAAAGAACATCCAGGGCTGGCATGTGGCTCGATGGTTAAGAGTGCTGGACTCACATGACTGACCAAGGTTCAAGTCCTGGACCTGGCAACTTGCTTTTCTTTCCCTCTCTCTCTCTGGTCAAATTAAAATAATAATAGTAATAATAAATAAAGTTGGGGCCAGTAGGTGGCGTGATGTTTAAGGGCATTGTGACTCCCACATGGCCAACTGCAGTTCAAGTCCTGGATCTTTTGGCTTGCTTCCTTGCTTTCTTTCGCTCACTCTTTCTCCCCACCTCTCTGGTCAAATTAAATAAATTAATCAAAGTTAAATAAAATAATAATAATAAAATTAAATAATTCTTAACAAAAAGAACATTCATGTGAGCAGCACGCAAAATGTAAAACATTATGTGCTGTCATCCCAAGAAGTTCTTACATTCAAAATTGTAAAGCATCAAGCTACAAAGTTTGATTGAGATCCTCTCACTTTGTAACCTCTATGTAATTTATTGACTTTGTCTTTTACTGAAACAAACTATAAACATTCTTATTAAATTACTAGAAACCATTAGGCTAGCCCCCCCCAAGTTTTAGCATGATTACAGAGGAGATTATATTTTTCCTCTATTACTAGGTATCTCAAATGAAGATATTTATTGTACCCCGTAAAGGGTCGAGGTTAAAAAAAAAAAAAGAAAAAGCCAACATTCTTGAAAGAACACATCTCAAATTACTATCAAGGCCTCTTGAGAATTTATATTAAAAGAAAGTAGCTTTAAGAGTTATAGCTCTAAATGAGTGATTCTCCCTTATGTTCAGGGAATGAGGAGTATTTAGGAAAAGCACATTTTACAGGCCTCTTGGGCAACAGCCAAAATTCATTAATATCCACAAAACCACAGGGTCAACTGCATGGATAGCAACTATATCCTATTACAACAAGATAATACTGAAGATGCACTAGCTAAGGTTAACAATGAGTTTGTTCTCACAGTATAGTACTAGTGAAAAACTGACACCGGACAAATGAACAGAAAAGAGAACCCAGAAATACACACACACACACACACACACACACACACACACAAATGACTTTCAACAAAGGTACCAAGAACATCCATCAGGGTAAAGAGTCTCTCAATAAATGGGAAAACTGGATATCCACATGTAGAAGAATGACTCTAGATCTCTCTCTTTCACCACATACAAAAATCAACTCCAAATGGATTAAAGACTTAAACATAAAATCTGAAACTATAAGCCTACTAGAAGAAAACAGAAGGGAAACACTTAAGAAAATTGGTTTGGCAAGGAGTTCTTGAATAAAACCTCAAAACCACAGGCAACACACACAAAAATAGACAAAATTCTATCAAACTAAAAATTTTCTACACACGGTCAGCAGATGGTGTGGTGGTTGGGAAAATAGACTCCCACATGGCCAACCCGAGTTCAAGTCCCACACCCAGTGGCTAGTTTCTTTCTCTCTCTCTCTCTCTCTCTCTCTGGTAAACACATAAGCCCTATGACAATTTTTTAAATAATAATAAATATAAATAAATGGTTTTTAAAAAATTATTTAACTTTATTTATTTTATTTTAATTTGACCAGAGAGGGACAGAGAGAAAGAAAGGGAAAGGGAAAATGAGAAAGCAAGTCACCAGGTCCAGGACTTGAACTATGGTTGGTCATGTGGGAGTCCAGCACCCTCAATCACCACACCACCTGCCAGTCCCCCCAAAAATGATTTTTAAGACTTTTTTTTAATAGAACTATTTTACTATAACTTTATTATTATTTTCCCTCTCTTGATCAGAGAGAGAAAAGGGGGGGGGGAACGAGAGGGGAAGCCATCAGATTTGGGACTAGAACTATGATTGGTCATGTGAGAGCCCAGAACCCTTAACCACCACGTCACCTGCCAGTCCCAGATCAATTTATTTCTAATTTTACTTATTATCATTATTCTTCAATTTTGACCAGAGAGACACAGACAGAAAAAAAGGGAAAGCAAGCTACCAGGTCCAGGACTTGAACCATGGTCAATCATGTGGGAATCCAGTGCCTCCTGCTAGCCCCATCAAATAAATGACATTTTTTGTTGTTGGTGGGAGAGGTTTTTGCTATAGGGCATATGTGCTCGCCAGAAAGAGAGAGAGAGACACAGAGACAGAAAGCGAGAAATCAACCTCCCATGGGGAATGGCCCTACAATTTCTTCTCCATTCTCCTCTTGGAATCTTGGGCGCGTATGCACAAGTGCCAGCACGAGTTTAAGCCATCAGGTCCCCAGCTCAAACCATGGTCAACTACATGGGAGTCTAGCGACATAGCCATTATGCCAACTGTTGGTCCCATAAATGACTTTTTTTTTTTTTGAGAATTATTTTAATTTAATTTGACCAGAGAGGGACAGAGAGAGAGAGAGAAAGAAAGCAGGAAAGCAAGTCACCAGGTCTGGGACACAAACCACAGTCAGCTATGTGTAAGTTCAGCGCCCTTAACCACACCACAGTACCTATCAGTCCCCAAATAAATGATTCTTAAAAAAATAAATAAAAAGCTTCTACATGGCAACAATAAAGATCAACAGTTAAGAGACAGCCCACATAATAGGAAAAAATATTTGCACACTATTCATCTGGAGTGGGATTAATAACCAGAACATAGAAGGAATTCAACTCAATAGCAAAAAAGACAAATAATCTGATTTTAAAATACGTAAATGGCCCAAACAAACAGTTCTCAAAAGAAGACATAAAAATGGCCAACAAACATAAGAAAAAAATGCTCAATATCACTAGTTATTAGGGAAATGTAAATCAAAACCATAATGATCTTACCTGTTAGAATGACTATTATAAAAAGAAAAAAAAGAAACACAAATGCTAGCAAAGATGAGAAAGAAAAGGGCACCCTTTTATACTGTTGGTGAGAACATAAATGAGTACAGACATTAGGAAAACGGTATGGAAATTCCTCCAGTGATCCCATTACTGCGTATAAATCCAAAGGAAAAGAAATTATGTTGTAAAGATATCTGCACCCCAGTGTTTACTGCAGCACTACTCACAATAGCTAAGATTCAGAATCAACCTAAATGTCCTTCAGTAGCTGAATGGGTAAAGAAAATGTGTTTGTGAGATACACATACATACACATCAACACAAAATGGAATACTATTCAGTCATTAAAATGAATGAAACTCATCATTTGAAGTTAAACAAGCAAGCCTAAAGGACATCATGTTAAGTGAACTAACCTGTTCATAAAGAAAAATACCACACATTCTATGTGGACATTGAAAAAAAAAATGCCCTCATAGAAGCAGGGATTAAAAAGGACTCCCAGAGGCTAGAAAAAATGAGGAAGAAGGGAATCAAGGGATACTGATTGATGGAAACATTACATATAGATAAGAATAGTATCTAGTATCTAATACTAAAATAACATAAAATACAGTGGGGTGAATATAGTTAAGAACTACCTGTATATTTCAAGAGTATCTAGAGGGGGGGTTTTATTTTGTTTTTGGCAGAGGTTTTTGCCTTAGGTACATGCACTCCCAGAGGGGAGAGAAAGACAGACACAGTGAGAGGGAAAGTGAGAAATCACTCCCCCTGGAATGGGTAGGGGAATGGCCACGCTGCAATCCTTTCTTCTCCATCCTCCTCTGGAGATCTTACACACACCCACACACGTGCCCACTGTGTGTTCTAAGCCAGTGGGTCCAGAACTCAAACTGCAGTCGGCTATGTGTGGGAGTCCAGCGACACCTGGGAGGACTTTTAATGCACCCAATACATTGGGATGAATACAGTTAACAAGTACCTGTGCATCTCAGAGTACCTAGGGGAGAGGATTTTGCCGTTTCCCAACACAAAGTAATGATGAATGACTGAGATGATGGGTATACAAGTTCCTGATTTGGTCGTTGCACATTGCATTCATGCACTAAAGACTCATATTGTATCCCCGCAAATATGTACAAATTACTGTATGTTAAGACAATTTGCTATGAGCCAGCATGTGGCATGGAGGTTAAGGATCTGGATCCCACAAGGCTGACCACACAGTTGAGTCCCAGACTTCACCACCTGTATTTAACTATGATGGCTAAAAGGTCCCATCACAAATGTTCTCCCAAAACGCCCTATGTCATGCAGGCAGACTCTCTGTGCATATATATGAGTGGCCCAAAATCCTGAGTGAAGAATGAAGAAGGGCTATGAAGAATGAAGAAAGGTAGGCTATGGGGTGGGGGGGGGGGCCTTATTTCTCACTTTCCCTCTGGCGAGCACATGAGCCTAATAACAAAAACTAAAAAATAAATTAAAAATCTGTTTAAAATGAGTTTATTTTCAGTATACCAGGTGGTATTCAGTTTAACAGAGTGTACCTTCATTGCTGTTTTGGGAAACTAGAAGGAAGCTACAGT